TCTATGTCATCCAGCCAAATAGGTCCAGATCCTTTGCGAAATTTACCATCATAATCAACAGTCAGAGCTTGGCCACAATCTAACTGTTTGCAGATCACCTCAGCAGCTTTCATTCCCACGGACTTCGAGCAGACTGTGCCCCAGGTCCCATTGTAAAAGACTTCCACTCTCCCCTCACAGGAACGTTGCCCATTTCCCAACCGCAGCTGCTTGTGCTCTGTAAAGGGAGAGTCCTGGATTTAGAAATTTAGCTTGGCCTCGTGTTTGTTAAATTGAGTTTATTAACCGTGCTGGAAAACAGCTCGGCATTATCTCCTCCTACATTAATTTATGAACCTTAACAGGTTTCAACCCACAAACTTCGGAATGAACGTTGAGAGTGCGAGCAACAGAGCTAGGCTGACAGAGCAATTAATCTCTTACCTGAACACACGATTCTCACATCTTCTTTATGATAACAGTCATGCTGCCCCCATGGAGACGATGCACATTCGCAGATAGCTGATTCATTTCCTGAGCATCTCACCTCATCCAACCAAACCGGCCCTGAGTCTCGCCCACAAGAGGCAGCAGTTGTTGCATTAACAGCAAATCCACATCCGAGCTGTTTACACGCAACATTCGCCTCAAGTGATCCCCAGGAGTCATCACACACCGTCCCCCAGGATCCATTGTAGTAAATCTCCACTCTCCCAGCACAAGAACTCCCACCGTCCATCAGTCTGATCTGAATATCTTCTGTTGAACAGAAGCAACGTTTACTTCAAGGTAAAACATGATATTATGTCCTCTGCCGGCTACCAACTCTATTTTAGTTAAATTTAACTCGGACCCCAACGTTACATGTAGCTCAAAATCAACCTCAGAATAGATGATGGTGAAATGCAAAAAGCAGCTAAGCCATAAGAATAATCTTTGTATTTGATCTAACACCTTCTCATGTGCTCGAGACGAGCCAAAGCGTTTCACGTATTATAAAGTAAAGTGAATAAACTATACGTTTTTTGAAGGCAATGCGGCAGCCAATCCAGCACTGGAATTTCCCAGAAACTGTCGTGAATTGAGTGACCAAGCTGTGAATCAATTTATTGAGTGATTTATCGATTGAATGTTTGCTTCTTTGCTTGGTCGATTGGTTGACTGATCGTTTGAGAGATTGATCGATTGATTGACAGATTGCTTAATTAACTGATTGATTCTTTAGTTTTTTGATTGTTTGGTTGTTCGACTGATTGATTGATTGATGGATTGATTGATTGATTAATTGACTGACTGACTGACTGACTGATTGATTGATTGACAGATTGACAGATTGCTTGATTAACTGATTGATTCTTTCGTTTTTTGGTTTTTTGATTGTTTGGTTGTTCGACTGATTGATTGATTGATTGATTGATTGATTGATTGGTTGATTGATTCATTGATTGATTGATTGATTGAAGAGATTATCAACCATCACCCCCACACACGCACGCACACCACTCTCCGAAAAAAATCACTCCCCAATCGAGTAAAAACTGGCAACTAAAATCTAGTATTCAAATCTAAATTAATGGCAAAAGTTCACTCACTTGAATACTGCACTCCAACATCATTCGTGTTCCTAATTGATTGGTTTAGCCTGGATGGTTTGCACTTCAAAAGATGTGATTCATTTCCTTGACACTGAACGTCTTTCAGCCATATGGACCGTTTACCTTCTCTGTACAACGGAGAGCTATAGGCTGTTATGGCAGGACCACAGCCCAGCTGTCTGCAAACCACATTCGCATCACTTAAATCCCAGAACTGATCTTGTAATCGCCTCCAGTTTCCATTGCGGTAAATCTCCACAGTTCCAGAGCAGGAACTGCCACCGTCTACCAGCCTGAGCTGTTTGTCATCTGTTCCAATTGTAAAATAAAACTTCACGTTCCTTTAGGGAAAAACACTACGTTTGTGTTATAATATTATTCAGCATCCGAATATTAATTGCTGGTCAATGTATTGAGAGTGTGTGAAACTTGATCGTGTATTGTTTGCCGTTCTTCTGTCAAAGCACATTCACAAAACCACAATTCAATGATATCAATAATTCAATGATATCGGAAGTTTGTACTTCAATGGAGTATGACACGCTCACCGTCAGTGAGGCATTTTGTAAGTTATTTAACAATGTGATATTAAAATGGACAATGATTGGTTCTATTTATCAGTAAAATGCACTCACCTGTACAAAGAACTCCCTCATCCCGGCTGCTCCTGGAGGACGGAGCCACTGTGGAATGTGGGCAGTTCCAGATGTGTGTCTCGCTTCCCGCACACTGAACATTATTGATCCACACAGGTCCAGTGCCTTCCCCGTACTGGGAAGAGGTGTAGACTGAAAGAGCAGAGCCAAAGTTCAGCTGTCGGCAGATGCCATCGGCATCTGATATATTCCATGAATCGTCCAGGAATCTGCCCCAAGTGCGGTTATGATAAATCTCCACTCGCCCACCACAGCGGCTCCCACCGCACTCTAAACGTAAGTGCCACTGTGTACCTGCAACGATTTCATTCGACAATTTGTCAATTAAAATTTGTGAGAACTGAAGGCAAGATAACCACAGCTACTGATTATTAAAACATGGCAGTTTGTGTTTGACAACACACCTGACATCATGATTTGAAAACTATAATAAAGTAGAAATAACAACAAACTTTCACACTCTGCGATGTTACCCGATCTAACATCAACCACAGACAATAACATACACAATGACAGCAGCCCCCAGCCCAATAACTCAACAAAAATCAACCTAATGCGTCAGGAAGGCAACCGGAGAAGAATGGAAATAATTGTTGCAATTGTAGCAGAAGAGCTTTATGGTAACATCAGGACCAGCCTACAATGTGGGAGTGAGGCGTACCTCCGTGACTCAGGAGAATATGCAGCTGCGCTCTCGTTTGCAATAGTATAACTAATATATATTTTACCGACTCGGGGTAAAGTGGCTCATCTTGAAAATCTAAGGAAGTCGTGGATTAGTTTTGTGCTCAGTTTTAGCGACTGAAATTTTTGTCACCAGTAGTACTTGGGTAATATCTTGTCATGCGTGCTACTCTTATATTAGATCAATGTTATTTATTAAAAAAATGTGTTGAATTTGGTGTGAAAAAAATGTCTCAACTGTTTTATAATTATTGGCTTTTCGTCTATAAAACCGACAGTTACTATACTTTACAGGCTACCTCTTGAAGCGTTTTGAGGCATCTGAAGGACTTAAAAGTCGCTTTATCAAATCAATGTTTATTATTATTGCACTCACCCGAACATACAACAGTAACGTCATGGTTATGTGTGCAGCTGAACTTTTCCCAGAATGAAACAGGACACTCCCACAACAGGGATTCGTTACCAATACAATTAAAGTTAGTTTTCCAGATACGATCTCTTCCTATCCCCAACTGTGCTTCAGGACCAGTTGACAAAGCAAACCCGCAATCCATTTGCCTGCACAGCACATCAGCGTCTTGTAAATCCCAATAATAATCGCAGATGGAACCTGATTTGTAATCACGCTGCAGTTTAACTCTGCCAGAACAGTTGTTGTTTCCACCGATTAACTTTAGGGAATGATATTCTGTAGTGGAAGAATTAACGTGATATAAATTGATATTACCAGAATAAAATGAGAAATAAAAACAAAGGGCTAAGAGATAAGTGATTTACAGAAATATTTGTGGCAGACAGCAGGTAGATGAAAGGTGAAACAATGATCAGATACGTGGTCTCAGAAATCTACATGTAGTTTCATGTCTGGTGACTACCGCAGTGTTACAAAATATGAATTTATATCCAAGTGTTTAACCCGGCAAATAAACAACACAATATTCGACTATTCATGCACGTTACTAGTGCATCACAGACCATTTAACAGCAACTGATGTGCAATAATCTGAGAGGGTGAGTAGCCAGACTATGAGATAAATCACAGTCTATATGCGAGGTTTATAATCTTTCTCTATTTTGCAGTAATTTGTCAATTTGACACAGAATGCGCAGAAGCAATATCTCTTTGATATATAGTGTTATCATTGGTGTCGTTCCCTACCTCTGTGAAGCTGAAGAGATGGACAGCGCAGGAGGATTTTTTCTCTGCCCCGTCAAATGCTTTTTACAAATGATTACTATTATTAGTGTCTGAGAGTCGAACATGATCAAATATGTTGAATCACTTGTCGTACTGTTCACATGGTGACAATTGTTGGTCCTATCGCACATCCCGATTTTCCCCATTTTTTTGTATATAAAAAGTAATTTAAAAGTCAACCACGCAGAGCATAATCTGTTTAATAACGTATCTATGTCGATATCATATATGTTGACACTTTAGTGAAGCCTGTACCTGAACAGATTATGCCACCATTTCGCTCGTGTCCGCAGGCAGGCCGACCAATAACAGGCCCTGATCCTTCTCCAAAGCGAGAGTCACCGGATACTGATAAAGAAGATCCACATCCCAAATATTTACAAATATATCTTGCCATCTCCATGCTCAGGGTATCTCCACAAACTGACCGCCAAGTCTCCTTGGTATACAGCTCTACTCTCCCCATACAGCGGCTGCTTCCATTCACCAGTCTGGGACTTTCAGTTCCCGCCAATTATAGAAAATGAATCATCATCAAGGATACTTTCAACGTTATATGCAATAAAATAGAAGAACTGGTATTAATCTAGTGCCCTGCGGCCAGCCTAGTGTCCCAGATCGCTTTTCAATATCATATAATTGCGGACGGGTTGCTTTGACCATTCCTTGTTTATCAGCAGATATGCATGGAGTGGTGCATATTGGAGACGTGGATGTGGTGTCCAAAATGCCGCAGGTCTCATAATTGTGATATCAGGTTATATATCTGATGAAAATATTTCATACTACTTGTGTTTGTGGGAATCTGTTGGGAAAAAAACATATCCTGTAAAAGGAAATAATCTGTGGTTTGAGAAGCTTTCAGTTGCAAAAGTCTGTTTAGAATCAACTGAAGACATTAAGCCTGTGTATGAGGACGTGCAGTAAGGTTTTGATTTCTTTGGGAAAAGCTGGAGGAGGCAAGAACAATATACGCTAGGGGACAGAAGACACAAGTCCTTACGTTGTGGTTAAAGAGCTGGATACGTTCGGTTTTGCAACACTAATTTGACGTAATTATTGCTCATCAATACTGATTGTCTAGGCAGTCGGTTGTGGCAGCAGAGTTCATGAAGTGATGGAAACTTCAAATTCAAGCATTTCTGATAAATGGCTTTTCTCGTCGGGATGACGTCCAAAATCTCTTCACTGGATTCGTTGTCAAATTCAATCATTCTGTAGTTTCTTGGTGGCGAAAATAGTATTTGTGCCCAAACTTCAAGAAAGGTCACCAAGAATTGTGTGGGGATAACGAGGGGCCGATAATCCTGTTAGAACGTTAGCTTGTTTGTCAATTACAAATGTAATTTCAGATTTCAAAAGTCCTCATTTTTAATATCGCAACACCTATGACAGTAGGGGTCGCAAAGCTCTTCACAAGATCTCCTGCAAAGTTTAATGAATGTATGTTGTCTGAGACAGATAACTCGGGAAAGGAAAAATTTGTTTCAAACTAAAACAACAACTTGTAAATATGCAACACATGCAGGATCGGTTAACAGTCGCTGACCCGGAGTCGGGGGGTGGGAATAAAGAATACCTTAGCCAAGTGTCTCAAAATTAGAAATGAGCTGGCCAGGCGTAGCGACTGAGGGATTGTTTTGGATGACACATTTATCATTGCCATAAGGACACACTGCGCCTTTGAATATAGGGCTTTCACCGTGATCCCCAAAGTATGGATTTAATAATAATAATAATACACTCACATAGTCTAGGATACAATCTTTATTAGAATTTGTCACGTTGTGGTTTACATAAAATATGAGGACTGTAATAAATGATCAGAGAATGATTTACCTGAGCAGATGACGCCGACATCAGAGGTGTGTGACCAGGAATAGTGATACCAGGGCCATGACTCACAATCCCTCAGAGCAGAATCACTCCCTCTGCACCGAACATCCCACGTCACAACGGGACCGGAACCACTCCCAAAGTGAGCGCCTCCTGGTGCTGACAACGCGTCTCCACAACCCAACTCCTTACACGCCACAGCCGCGTCCAGCATATCCCAACCATAATAGCCAGAGTCATCCACTGTGCCCCATTGTTCGCTATGGTAAACCTCCACTCTCCCGGCACACGGGCTCCCTCCATTTACCAGCCGCAAAAGATCTGCTAAATGATCACAGGCAACAAGTATTTGTATTTGATTCCCAAACAAGCAGGATGATCACAACTATAAGAATAATCCTCATAATTTAACTTAGCTGCCGTATTTGCCTATACAATCACAATTACTTAGATTAAGCGGATGAAGATGTTTGCAGTCTGTATCAGTGCGTTGTAACTAATATAGAGGAAATCTTGAATGGGAGTTCACAATGTTTTACAGAATAAAATACTTTTAAATGTGCTGCAGCCACATGTCCCCGTATGTTAGCTGGCACTTCCAAGTTGAGCGCGATGAGGGACAAAGCTCTTCCAATTGTATGATTCAAATAAGAAGAAAGGTAAACGTGAACTAGAATCAACGTTTTGATGGTCAAACGTGATTCCTCTTTTGGATCACAGCGGAAAATCTTACTATTCGAGAGTGCCTACGGTCACCTGCCTTTTTCTCCAGGGTCGGTGTCACCCGCAAAGCGGAGACATTGAGGGATTGTCTTGGATGAAATGCTGATCGTTACCCTGAGGACATACTGCGCAATTCATTGTATTTCAGTTCCGGTCTGAAAACAATTCTGATTCAAAGATTGAAGCCTCTCCTTATTAGAAAAAGAGAAAATAAAGAAAATGAACATTGATCTGCGGCGGAGGTTGAGGAGCAGCAGAGCAGACTCACTCCCTCTGCACTGAAAATCAAACGTCACAACGGGAGGTGATCCCCTCCCAAAGTGAGCGTCTCCTGGTGCTGACAGCGCGGCTCAGCCAAACTCCTTACACACCACAGCCGCCTCCGCCATATCCCAGCCACGGCCACCAGTGCCATAGCCACGCACTGTGCCCCATTGTCCATCCTGGTAAACCTCCACTCTCCCGGCACACGGGCTGCCGTCATTTACCAGCCTCAAACGATCCATTTCCAATCACGCAGGATGATCATAATTATAATAATAATGATCAATATACTCAACTTAGCTGCCGCATTTGCCTACAACATACACAGTGACCGTTCTTCACAGTAGCTTCTGTGAAACACTGGAGGAAATGTAAAGGCTATGACAAAATATCATACCTGATGCAAAGGTAATCAATGATGGGACTTTCGCAATGCTTTTCAGAAAAAAATAGATATAAAGTTTCTGCAAAGATCACGTTTATTTGCCATTTATATCTTTAGCGGTGTGTTGGACAGTGGTGCTAGGCTTGCATAATTAGTAAATGTGGACTTGTATCAAGGTGTGGCTGACGGGACGGGAGCTCAGGTTGGAGAAAGTTGTAAAACAATCAGATGATTCGAAGAAAAGAACGGGATATTAAAGTCGTGTTACTGAGATTTGTATCAATGTGGGATAAAATAATGTGAGGTTGTGGTGATTCGGGAATTCTTTTTCAACAAGACGGTCAATGAATATATTTTAGAATTATCATGCTCGGAAGGAAGACAGGAATCGCCTTAAAGTTCCCACAAATGTGGGGTTAAAGACAAACAGAGGAAATATTCCTCGCCGTTCAGTATTGTAAAACTAACTCGAGGACAGACTCAACGTGAGATGAATTGAAGTTGTGGGTTAGATCAACATCAGCAGCAACATCGTCTTGAATTTTGTAGCGCCTGTGACCCAGGTGGAGTCTATGAGCACGTAGTGGGGTAGAGCTTGCCCTGGAACTCTCGAACTCTCCATCCTCCTTGTCTACTCTTTTAGTTCGCATCGGATGAACTACCTGTTCGACGTCACTCTTTTCCCCAGTTGGTGCCCTGCTGTCACAAGAGCTCTGGGACGCAACGCTGCACGAGAGGCGTTTTATAAATGCAAGGTGTTGTTGGATAGGCTGAAGCTAGTGGACAGATGGGGTTGATAGATGAGTGTGGTGTAAACACGATAGATAGCGGAGTGCCAGATTACGATGTGAGTGGTGCGTGAGTGACAGGATCGTTAAAAGTGATCCATGCTGTAATTGAAAGCCAATCATGCCTGCCAAGTATAAGAGAGGCAGCAAATTGCTTTTGCGGCATAATTAGCACCCATTGTGCCGGGACAATGGTCCTAAACTGGAAAGATGTTGTTACGTAGTTTGATGGCGGTGGCAGTTTTATTTAATTATACATTATGAATGTTGCGCTGGGGAGCAAATAACAAACAAAATAATACAATACTCACACTGTGTTTTAGATTGAATATCTGCTTGTTGGCCTGAAACGCGAAAGATATCGCCAGGCAAATATTTTACAAAATTGGAAAGGATGATCAAGACATTGGAACGATTTAATCTTCCGCAATCATATTTTCGAAAAATAAAGGGTAAGCCGAGGCTGTGCTCGTTCCACTGCTCATTGTTGCGCTACTGGTCAAACAAAAAGTAAGGACTGAAATTTAGGCCTTGTAGGTGAGGATGAGGATCTTGAATGTCACGTCTTCTAATCATCTCAAAGCACGCTTAATGAAATAAGATCAATTTTAAGAGATTATTTCTACTAATGCATGAGTCGAGTTCAATAGCGAATTCAGGATCGTCATTCTCACCTACAAGGCCATTCACGGTATCGCTCCCTCCTAACTCTCCGACCTACTATCCCGCTACCGACCTGTCCCTACCCTCTTTTTCTCTGACTCTGGTCTTCTCCACATCCTCCGCCCGAACCACCCTACCATCGGTGGCCGGGCCTTCAGCCTCTCAGCCGCTAGGCTCTGGAACTCCATCCCCCAGTGCCTTCGCCGCTTCCTCCCTTTCCTCCTTCAAGGCCGGTCTCAAGACCCTTCTCTTTGACCATACCTTCAGCTCCCCTCTCGACTCTCCACCCCCTCCTCGCTCCCTGCCTTCCCTCCCCTCAAACTGATTATTTTCCCCCTCGTCGGGACTTGACCCAACTCCCCAGCGTCTTGGGACGTAATCCCGACTTGAAAGGCGCTCTATAAATGGACTATTGTTGTTGTTGTTATCATTGATCACACGGCATCAATTTGACATAATCACATGCAACCATATATGTCAATACATTTACAGAAATTTTAAGCAATGCCCAAGCTAAACAATTTCACACATTGCCTCTGTTCGGGCTTTCACCGAAATTAGTTCTTTCAGTATATCTGCCCATTCCTGCTCCACACACCAGTTTTACGCCTAGTCATTCATATACATTTATACAGTGATACGTATTGCCTGAACCTCAGCAATTCTTTCCTCCCCTCCGTCCGTCCACATACGGCGTATGATGAGACAACAAAAACAACCAGAACAATTTGCACATATATGTTACCCGTTGAAAAACACAAAGGATCTTATGTCGACAAATGTACTTGTTGACAATTCTACATCCCAACAGCATGACACGCAGACTAGGGATTTAATGATAATAAACCGACAATCTGTGGAATGCAATCTCTATCAGGGTTTCACAAACTGTGGTTTGCCGAAAATATGAGGTCTGAAAAATATGATCGGATACTGAAATATTTACTTGAGCAGATGACGCCGGCGTCATAGGAGTGTGAATACCACCTGGAACAGTGACCCCACGTCTGTGACTCGCAATCCCTCAGAGCAGACTCGCCCCCTCTGCACTGGACATAATAGGTGACAACGGGACCTGAGCCTTCGCCAAAGTGCGCATCTCCTGATGCTGAGAGCGCGGCTCCACAGCCCAACTCGTTACACACCACAGCCGCGGCCTTCATATCCCAGCCAGGGCCACCAGAGCCATAGCCATACACTGTACCCCATTGCCCATCGTGGTAAACCTCCACTCTCCCGGCACACGGGCTGCTGCCATTCGCCAATCTCAAATGATCTGCAAAAAACATGACGAACAACATGCCTTTGAATTTGATTTCCAGTCGCGCAGGGTATTCATAATTATAAAAATAAAAGTTGTACTTAATCGGAAGCGCTCTGAGTCGCCGTCCGGCGTTGAGGGCGCTATATAAATCCTAGCTCTTTTTTGTTGTAGCTGTTGCATTTGCCTACACGGTCATTGCTCCTTACAGTAAATTCTGTGAAGCGCTGGAAGAGATTTGCAGGCTGTGTCAAGGCATTATATTTAATCTATGATGAGACTTGAATGATGGTTTTCAGAACATGATAGATTGAAAGGATCGGCACATTCTACATGTCCTCATATGTCAGGTGACATTTGTAGGCTTAGCGGAATGTGGGACAATAATAATACGTTGGGATAATTGACACGAGACGAAAGTTAAACGTTCAGTGGAATCGAGGAGTGGATGTTTGAATGAGAGAGCAGTATGGGGAAGCGTGTAAATTATAAGACGATTTGAAGTACAGAACGAGGACACAAAAGTTCTGTTATTGAGGTTTGTTTAAATTGGGGCTTACATAAGGTGAAGAAAGAGGAAACGGGGAGCAGATCCCTTCAGCTTCCATTTATACACTTTTCTCAGTTAGTCAATCAGTTAGTCTATACTCAAGTTTTCATGCTGACATGGTAGACATGAATCGCCTTGAGCTTCCTAAAATATGAGGTTAAAATTCAAACAAACAGAGGAATTATTCCTCTGAATTCAGTATTGCAAGGAAAGAAAAAAGACAAGGACAGACACAACATGAAATGTATTGATGTTGCGGGAAAGCACGTCACAGAAAAAAACAATTTCTTCTTGTCTTCTTGTACATATGTAGCACCTTTCATCCGGAATAGCGTCTCTGAACAATGAATTGTGCAGAGCTTGTCCAGAAACACTGTTCCTCAATTCCTCCTCCTTGAATACACGTTTAGTTAACACAGGAAGAGCTCCTCTCGGTCGGTGTCCTACTATCCCAGGCGCACTGGGACGCTTCCTGCTTTCGGAACACTACGTAAATGCATCTTGTTGTCGTTGAGGCGGAAGACAGTGGACAGATGGGGCTGGTACAGGTGTGGGATATATGCAGGACGATTAGGGCATCATGTGTGTGACACGTGAGTATCAGGATCGTTAAAAATGTCCGTTCTGCTAATGGAAGCCAATGGATCCTGGCAAGTATAAAAGCTTTAGCAAAGTTGCATCTACAGTCCATTTAGCACCTTTAATGCCGGGAACGTGGCCCTAGGCTTGCGTTTGTTGGTGCTGTTAAAGATTTGATTTAATTGTATTTTATGAACTTTTTGCTGAGGAACGAATAACATATCCAAAAAAATACTCACCTAGTTTCTTAGCTTGACAATCCACTCGAGGACCGGAAACGAGAACGTTTTTGCCAGTTACATAATTTAGAAATTTATTTCGGATTATAAAGCCTTTTGATCTATTCAATCTCATTGTCCATAACATTATTTTTGACAGTCAGAGAGTGAGCCACGCGTAAAGCCCAGTCCGTTCTACTTCCACTGCTCAAGGTTTTCATCATGGTCAGAAAGAACGTTCAATTAAGGTGATACATGTTTAGTGAAATAAGGTCAAAGTCTTCACTCCTGACCGAGCCTGACACAATATACACAGTGTGACTAAATAGACGTGATACAATTACAGTGTCTAATACGTCTCGGAGAAATGGTGATGAAATATATTATTTGTATATAATATGCATAATCAATGTATGTATATATTAGTAGTGTTTATACTACAACAATATTATCCTTGCGATGGAATTTGCGCCTGATCACAACATTGAGACGCCGCAAAGCGCTTCACAGAATATAATGTATAGTTTACTGACTGTGCCATTTGAGGGTTAAACGTGGCAGCAAATGTGCACCGCAGTATCCCACAACAGGACAAAAATTCACTGACCAAATTATTATTTTGTAAGGAGATTTGACGTCCTCGAGCTGTGTGTATGGGTGGTTGTGTCGGTGTATCTGTTGGGGGGAGGGTCAGGGTCGAAACCACAACCTCCTGACTCGGAGGCGAGAGAGAGCGAGAGAGAGAGAGAGAGGGGGAGTGAGAGTGAGAGTGAGAGAGAGAGAGCCGGAAAATGCAACCGAGTTCGAAAAATAAAAACTCTTTAGCTGGAAACTTATTAACTATAAATATATTAGTAATTTTAAATCAATTTTATAAATTTTTAATCGCGTTGTCAAAGATATGAGAATTGCAACTAGCGAGGACTTGCTTAATGTTAGATTAAAAAACAGATCTTTCTATATCCCGTTGAACTGACTTTGCAAAGTTAAGGATAAAGGATGTTCGTAACATCCACCATGAAGTATCTCGTCACTGAGACGTCTAAAACCGCTTTACAGAAAATAATGTAACGTGCAATGACTGTGAATTTTTGTGGGTGAAACGCAGCAACAATTGTGCACAGCAGCATCCCACAAACAATCTTGGATTAAGTGAACACATTCTTATTTTTGTAAGAAGATTTGGCTACACCCTCTCAACAACTCTCCTACTCGCGGAAATAACCCTCGCCCGTCTCCCCCCCACCCCCCCTCCCCCCAACCCAATCGATGGGAAGGAGGGAGCGAGGAGGGGGAAGAGAGTCGAGAGGGGAGCTGAAGGCAGAGGTTTACGGCCTTAGAGGGACGCGAAACTGGGAGGAGTAAGCCTAATAATAATAGTAATAATCCTTGCATTTGATATAGCGCTTTTCACGTCGGAGGACGTCCCAAAGCACTTCACAGAACACACTGTAAAGTGAATTGACTGTATATTTGTGGGCGAACGCGGCAGCCAATTGCGCACAGCAATGTCCCACAATCAGTCGTAGATTGAAAATGACCCATTTACTTATTGTTTTTGGTTTTGGAGGGATTATTATTAGGCGTGTGGAGTAAGGAAACTTGCCCAAGGTTTCGCCCTGCCTGGAATTGAACTCAGGTCTCTCACTTGCAAAGTGAGTGCTCTAACCACTGAGCTACAGGACTCCGGGCTGAGAGCTGAAGGCCCGACCACCGATGGTAGGGCGGTTGGGGCGGGGGTCGTGGAGCAGACCGGAGCCAGAGGAACGGAGGGTACGGGCAGGTAGGTAGGGGGATAGTAGGTTGGAGAGGTAGGAGGGAGCAAGGCCGTGAATGGCCTTGTAGGTGAGGATGAGGATCTTGAAATCAATCCTCTGGGGATGGGGAGCCAGTGGAGGCGAGCGAGGGTGGGAGTGATGTGGTCGCGAAGCCTGGTGCGGGACAGTACACGAGCTGCAGAGTTCTGAATGACCTGCAGCTTGTGGAGGGAGGTGGCGGGAAGGCCGGCGAGGAGAGAGTTCCCATAGTCCAGCCTTGAGGTGACAAAGGCGTGGACCAGGGTTTCAGCAGCGTGAGGGGTGAGGTAGTGCCGTAGTCTGGCGATGTTCCGAAGGTGATGGAAGGCGGTGCCAGTTGTAGTGCGGATGTGAGGGAGAAAGGACAGCTCAGGGTCGAACAAAAGGCCGAGGTTCCTGACTGGCTTGGAGAGGTGGAGAGTGCAGCCTTGGATGCTGAACAACATCACACACATGGATCCTGGAGCTCGACTGCACACTCTGCGTCAAATCTAAGACGTCAGTCATGTACTTCCATTGTTTCCTGCCTCAACAAGAGTCTTCAGAAAATCTTGCATAAATCAAAAGTATCAACGTATTTGGGTTTTACACTCAGCCTAATGTCGCTCTCCGCTCTCATGTAGTGAGCCACTCTGTGAAGGTGCCCAACACATCCTATTAACATTGTAATCCAGCATGTTTAGTGTATATCTAATCACGAACTGCCAGTTGATGTGAAATAGTGAATATATGAAGCCATTGGGCAAAATACAGAATTTCGCGAAATTCCTCTGTATATCCAACTTCCGACTAAGATCACACTACTTGTTGGTAGACACCAGACTTGCACTGTGTAACAATACTAGAGAGTTTGTCTCAGATACCCGTTGTCTAGCGCTGGGAGGACAGCTTCAAGTCCTGTGTTCAGTTCCTGGCGTCGCTGTACACACCACGCACCACATAGCAGCTTTCAGCATCTATGCATTAATGATCTCCACACCTGCTACCTTACCAGCAGCCAGGCCATGGCCTCCACTCGATAGGTGTTGCATCAGCATTGAGGAGTCCATGCAGAGCAGTGCCCATCAACGGTCAACAGTCTGTACCTCATTGAGTTCTCACAACTCGTATCAGACCTCTTAAATGCTGTATTCTGCCTATGACCAAGTGATTCTTGGTTTGGATTGAAATGAAGATAAATAGCTTGTGTGATCATTACTATCAGGCAATTGAAATTTTGTTGCTATTTTTCAATTGCGTCCAAGCATCTTGTCTCCAATATCTGCCTATTTAGATACTCGAATCGCAGTAGCATAATAGTTAAACATTGAGGCATTGTTTGCGTCAGAATTCAGGATACTGTTTGACCATTTGTAATGTTTGGATGACGGGACTTCCCAATTCTTCCCTCCACAGACTGCAGATTACTAATTGCAGTAGATTACTGCATTATCGCAAAAAGACATGGCACCAATTATCAGCGTGTGTGCCGTTTAATCTTAATAATAATAATAATAATACTTGCTTCTGTGAAGCGCTTTTCACGACCTCTAGACGTCCCAAACCGCTTCAGAGAATATACTGCACAGGGAATTGACTGTACATTTGTGGGCGAACGCGGCAGCCAATTGCGCACAGCAATGTCCCAAAAACTGTCGGAGATTCAAAATGACCAATTTATTCTTGTTTTTTGTTTTGGAGGGATTATTATCTTATCAGTTTTACGTTTATGTTTTACAACATTCCATGGGAATTCCATTGTGTAGACCAAAACTGCAACAGGTTGCACTGATATTGTGCCAGTCACGCGGAGTGGTGCCTTGTAACGCTGAACAGAGCGCTCCAAGGCACCATAGATGCTTATACCCATTGCAGGGCGCCTATAATTGTTTCTACAATTGCAAAC